TTGTGTAGTGAATTTACCGAAGTTAAATAATTTTGCATAATAAGTAAGTAACACATAATAATAAATTTAATGGAAACTATAAAAGCAAGAACTAATTTTACGCAAAATTTTATTTTTATTATCTGCCATTGTGTACCGAATTTGACGAAGTTAACTAATTTTGCATAATAAGTAAGTAACACAAAATAATGGGTTTAATTAAAAACTACAAAAGTAAGAATTAATTTTAAACAAAATTTAATCTATAGCATTTATCGTTGTGTAGTGAATTTGACGAAGTTAAATAATATTTTTCTTCTTCTCTTTTTTTACAAAGTATTAAGAAAATGTTTACCATCGTTATATTTCAATTAGTTAATTTTGCTTATTTTAAGGTTTTTATACAAAAGCTGCGTTTCAGCAAACATGATCCGCTCAATTTTACATGCAAAACAAAAACGATGGGGTGAACCAGCAATTGATCTGGTTCACTTTCTGGCTCAATGTGGAATGTATGTAAAAGATAAAAGTGGAACGTATTTTAATGCAAATAAGGTTGGCAATGCGATGCAACGGTGCAGTAAAATTTTAAACAAATCTTTATTTACTATTGATTTTATTTATTTATTATTTATTTTATGTACTTATTTAATTAATATGTCATTATTATTTATTTCTTTGTTTAAAGTAAAGTTTTAATTATCAATGTAATTAAAATTATTACTTTAATTATTTACGTTTTATTATTATTGAAAAAGTGTTGTTTAATAATTTATTAATATCAATTAATTTGAAATGAATATATAAAAATTAAGTTAAATACATTTATTTAATTAAAACAGAACAATACATAAGAAACCAGGCTCTCCAACATACACGTTTATAAAAAAACCATTTTCATCGCAAACTGCCTGCAAGATTAAGCCATAGTCATGCTTTCTTTTAAAATAAGCCTATTTGCTCTGGTTTGGTGCATTTATTTTTAGATGTGTACTGTCTATGCAACCAATTACGAACGGGAATATTTTCGAAGCTTCCACTTTTGCATTATTAGCAAGTGCGTATTTTAAATTAGTGTCCAATTGATATAAGCTAAACACTAGTTCTTTTAATTATTCTCCATACAGAAGCTCTTGGTATGCCATAACAAATACCAAATTCGCAAAAAGTATTCATATTTTCCATATACCACAAAAATATATAAAATTCCTTCATTGCTCTCGTCCGATTGTGATCATCACGGTTATTTTGCATTTGCTGATTGGAATTTATTAACAAATCTATTAAAATATGAAACATAATTAATATATAGCAATTGTATTTTTTATACGCAAATACCAATCAAATAATCTTTAACGAAAAAATTATTGATCGTTTCCACAAAACTTCCTTTATATCTATGCTGATACACTCATCCCTTGAGCTTAATACACTTGAACTAGTAAAAAGGGAATGGAAGAGTCAGTTTTGCTCGATGATTCTAATAACATCTGCAATTTTCATTTATTTACTATAGAATTAAATTTAAGTTTTTAAGTAAATACTAA